CGAAATGTATTTTGAGCAAATACCAAGAATATCCCTCCATTAATTTAGTCATGTAACATGACCGAAATAATATACGGGTGAACAGTTCGTTCCTTCCTATTTCGGTCACTATCACTAACCGAATCACCTGATTAAAATAATATTTATAAATTTCGTTAAATAATTTTTTCGAATATAAGAGTTATTTAATGATTTATTCAACCACTGTTTCGGTCAATGATACTAACCGAATTAAAGACTTATTTTGGTCAAGATGAAATTTTCTCCGAAAGTTTATTTCGTACAGTGAATATTTGATCCAACAATTCGGTTAGTGATCTTGACCACAGTACTATCAATTCGATCAAAAAACAGGCTTTTTCGATTGATGTGCTTGACTGAATTGTACCCTTCTTTCTAGTAGCGAAATAAGCTTTTATCTTCTCCGTTATTGTAGTTTCGACAGTATTTAACTAATTTAAGAGATTTTATTACTATTCATTATTGTATTTTTTATTTAAAAGTACAAAGATAGTTTGCCTGTTTACAATGGCATTAGAGTAGACAATCCAATGTTTGGTATTGCTATGTATGAATTAGGTCTTCTTTTGGATCATTTAGGCCTGTTGTTTGAATAGCAAAAATTATTGCCAGCCTTTAGATTGTTCTTGGCGCCCTTTACTTGCTTGTCTAGCACTAGCAGACTTCGTACATGATGCTGGTTCCAGCACCTAGTCTAAGAACCAGAACTACAGAGCCATTAATTGGTAGGACTAGGCCTGAACCCTGAACTGAGTCAAACCATTGATGTATTTGTGTTAATTGTTATTTTCCAAGTAATAAAAGATCAGAGAAAGAGCAAGAGGGAGAGAGTACTAGGGTTTGGACAAGGCGTCCGGCAACTAAGGATAGTGGTAGTGGGCTCTGGCAATGGCTTATGGGATTTGGCAAGCAGTATCTGGGATGGGCGACTATGTTTTTCTTCTATAATTTTCCAACTAATAGTTCTGCGAAGGATCTGTGGTTTTGTTTTAGGTCATATGGGACGGTTGCAGATGTTTATATTCCGGCAAGACGGGATTAGAGAGGGCGTCGCTTTGGGTTTGTCTGCATGTCAGAGGTCTTAGATGTAAAAGACATGGAAGGGAAATTGAATCAGATATGGTTTGGTTCCTATCATCTCAAAGTTAAGTTGGCAAAGAAAATGAAAAGAGGGAAGGAAGAGACAACGATGAGACCAAAAACGCAGATAGAGAATAAATGGATTAAGAAAGATAATAGGGTGAATCCAAAGGTGACTTACGCACAGGTGGTGGTAAGGAATATTTTTGCAATTGAGGATGGAAATTCTTCGGTTCATGAATTCAGACAGGGTTCATTAACGAAGGAGAAAGAAACAACAGAGAAAAGGATTGAGAAGGAGGGTAAAAAGCCTACAAAATCATAAGTGGTGCCAGAGACAAGGTCAGATCGGTATGGCTGCGAAGAGATGCCTTTCAAAAATTGAATTGGTTTTACAATTTTCTCATACAAAGGAGGAAGAGGCATGGTTGAAAAGAAGTTGGGGGGGCTATGGTGAGATCATTAGATATGGTGAAGCAAATTCAGAACAGACTCAATGTTGATGGGTTAAGGGTCACTATTGCTTTGCTTGGGGGTCGTCAGGTTGTATTACTAGATAATTTGAAAGGGTGTTTTGAGGAGTTCATCAAGGATAACAAAGAAGTGATAAATTATTGGTTTGAATGGATACAGCAAAGTAGTTTAACTACAATGACTTTATTGAGCAGAATGGTATGTTTTCGGTTTACAGGGGTTCCTTTGAAAGCATGGAGTGACAGATGTTTCATGGAGCTAGGGGGCTTAATAGGCAAGGTGATTCTTGTGGATGAGGATACAAAAAGTAAGTATTTCTTTTGTGAAGGCAAAGCCTTGATCTTGACTAATGATAAAAACAAAATCTCAACCACAGTTACATTGATGATTGATGGCCAAGCTTTTTCGATAGCCGTGGAGGAGGAGGAGTGGCGTATGGACCTAGATTGGTGGCTAGTTGAAGAGCGACGGAATCTGGCAACTGAATTTGACTCAGAATATTCTAGCGATGGTTACAGTGATGTAAATTTAAATGTGGACGGATTTTTGGGTGATGAAGACACTTTGTTGGATGAGGATTGTGTAGTATCTGAACCTGATGCGAATGCAAGTTTAAATAAGCAAGGTATTTTGGCAGAAAGAGAATCGGGTGAGAATATTTTGGAAAATGGGCTAGACAAGATTAGGCTGTGTATGGGAAGCTTGAGTGGGCCTGAGGAAAAAGAGAATGTGATGCAGGCTGAAAGTGGGAAAATGGTGTCATCTGGGTTGCAACACCATCGAAATGTTTTAGAGAAAAAACACAGAAGTGTTGGTGACATCTATGCTGGGGGTAGTGGTGAGAAAGAATCGAGAGACATAGAGGCTTTGTGGGTTACGGAAAGAACGAAGAGTAGAAGGGAAAGAAAGGAAAAACTTCTAAGGGATGGCTCACAACAGGAAGTGCAGCTGGAAGAGTCTTTGTCTGATGGGTGTATTTAGCATCGAAACCATGTAATTAGGCAATATTTGGAGTTGGATGAAGTGCGTATGCTGTTTACAATGGGGCAAAGACTAGGAATTCATTGTCAGCAAAATGAAGAAGAGGTGTTTTCTAGGTTGACAACATTAGAAGAGAGGGCTGTAGTTAATTCTAAAGGGGCTTAAAAATTCAGAGACGGTGTTAGGAGGTCTGTGAGGTATGGTTTCAATTTATGAAGATAATTTCTTTTAATGTTAGGGGTTTGGATAGTTTGTTGAAAAAAAAGAAGATATTCAAATTTCTAAGAAAGGAGAATCTAGATTTTTTGCTCATTCAGGAAACTAAATTAGAGGAGGTTGAGGTTTCTTTGTGTAGGATGTTATGGATTTCTGATGATTTTGATTGGGTTATGCAAAAATCACAAGGAAATTCGAGGGGTTTGTTGTGTATATGGAATAAGAAGAGTTTTGTCAAAAAGAGGGTGTTTGAAGGAAGGGATTTCCTCAGGATTTTTGGGGAATGGGGTAGTTAACAGCTTAATTCTAATTTGGTGAATGTGTCTGCTCCATGTGATAGAAATGGGGAGGTTTTGTTGTGGGAGGAAATTGGGAGTTTAGTGTCAGAACAGGGTGGGAGGTGGCTTTTAGCAGGGGATTTTAATGCTGTTCAAAATGTTGAAGAAAGGAAGGGGAGATTAGGGGAGACACAGGATATGGAAGAGTTTAATCAATTTAAGGAAGGAACTGGACTAATTGATGTCAGATTAATGAATAGGAAGTTCACTTGGTATCGATCTGATGGAACCTCAATGAGTAGACTTGACAGGTTCCTACTATCTACAGAGATGAGTTTATTGGAGAGAGATTGGACTTAGGTTGGGGTGCAACGATCAATCTTAGACCATTGTGCTATTATTTTGAAATCGAGAAATATTGATTGGGGTCCTAAGCGTTTTGAGTTCTACATGTATGGCAACAACACTCGGAGTTTCGAGAATTCGTGGAGGATAGACGAAAAAATGTGCAGATTGAAGGTTGGGCTACATTTAAGTGTCAACAAAAGCTGAAATTAAAGAAGGAATGTAAAAGGTGGAACAGTGGGGTTTTTAGAAATATGGAAGTTAGGTTTGAGGGCTTGTTACAGAAAATTGACAAGTTGGATAAAAAAGTGAGGAGAATGAGCTAAATGAGAATGAGGTGTTGTTACAAAGGGAGTGTATTCAAGAGGTTTGCGACATCTTACAGAAGAAGGAAGTTGTGTGGTAACAGAAATCTTGAAACAATTGGATTCATCTTGGGGATGCAAATACAGCGTTTTTTCGTAGAAGTGTACATGCACGGAGAGTGCATAATGAAATATTAGGCATTTTAGGCGAAGATGGGTGGGTTGAGGAACCAAAATTGGTAAAGGCGAAGGCAATGAGGTATTTTTGTCCATTATTCCAGAGTGAATAGTGGCATCACCCAATGATGGACGGATTCAATTTTGTAGAATTTCAGTTGAATAGAAGAAGTGGCTACAAAGGCCTTTCTCAATAAAGGAGATTGAAGATGGACTTCATAGTTGCGATTGGTCAAAGGCACCAGGACCGAATGGTTATAATTTTAATTTTATAAAGTTTGCTTGGAGTACATTGAAAGATGACTTTGTGGATTTTATGTGTGAATTTTATCAACATGGGAGGTCAGTCAAAGGTCTAAATTCCTCATTTCTTACATTAATTCCTAAGAAATTGAATCTAGTGCAATTTAAGGAGTATAAGCCTATTAGTTTGCTTGGGAGTTTGTATAAATTGTTGGCTAAAGTTGTGGCAAATCGGTTGAAAATTGTAATATCAGATATAATCAGTGATTCTCAATCAGCTTTTGTTGATAGTAGGCAATTGGTGGATAATGTGTTAATCTTGAATGAGGTGGTGCATGAGGTAAAAAGAAGGAAGCAACATAGCTTTATTTTTAAGGCTGATTTTGAGAAAGCTTATGATTGTGTGGATTAGGGTTGTGTTGATGAGATGTTGGATAGCATGGGATTTGGCAATAAGTGAAGAAGGTGGATTCAAGAATGTCTCTCAATAGCAAGGATTTTAGTGTTAATAAATGGAAGCCTAACGAAGGAATTCTCTGTCAACTATGGTTTTTAAAATCGGACCGGACTGGTCGGTTGAACTGATCGGACCGGTACCCGGTGATGAAAATGGTTCAATTTACATGAAAAAACAGTTTGATGTTAAAATCGGTCAAAAATTGGTCAAACCTGGTCAAAACTGGTAGAACCGGTGGAACCGAAAAAACCACCGATTCAATTTCTCATGCAATCTTCCTTCATTTTTTCCAATTTCACCCTCCCCATTCCTTTCTTATACCCATTTTAACCTTTAATTTTAACAAAATTACAAAATTACAAAATTATCAGACACCAAATTAGAAAATCCCACATGCAACCTACTCCTCTCGTTGGATTTCCCTTGCTGTTTGGATCGACCGGTTCATCGATTGAATCGGTTGAACCGATTGAACTGAGAATCGAACCTAAAAATGGTTCAATGATTGGTTTGATTTTAAAAACCTTGCTATCAGCAAAGGTCTTTGTCAAGGTGATCCTTTGTCTCCTTTTCTATTTTTATTAGTGGGGGAAGATTTGTGTGGACTTGTCAAAAAGCTGAGGGTGAAGGGCTTTTGAGAGGTGTGGAAATTGAAAGGGGAGGTGTGGTGTTGTCGTTATTACAATTTGCAACTAATGCAATTTTTATGGGCATGGCTGACGTAGAGAATGTCAGAGTCGTGAGAGCTATTCTACATTGGTTTGAATTGATCTCATGATTAAAGATTAATTTTAGCAAGAGTCATTTGTATGCTTTTAACCTTTTGGATGGGTGGTTAAAAGGTGTTGTAGACATGTTACACTGGGTAAGGTGCCTTTTATATATTTGGGTTTGCCAGTTGGAGGAAATTCGATGAGAAAGAAGTTTTGGAAGTCAGTGCTAGACCGGTTTCATCAAAAGCTTACCACTTGGAAAAGCACACTACTGTCCTTTGGAGGCCCAATCACCTTACTAAACTCGACACTCTCTGCTATCCCTATTTTTTATTTGTCTTTATTTAAGATTCCTAAAAGTGTTCTTGTTGAGTTGATTAAAATTCAGCGGAATTTTTTTTTTTGGGGAGAGCGAATTTGGATAAGAAAATTCCATGGGTTAGTTGGGAGTGTATGTATGTGGAGAAGGGGCGAGGGGGTTTAGGAGTGGTTGATTTAGAGAGAAGGAATGGTGCTTTGTTGGGGAAATGGTGGTTTCGACTAGGAGATGGTTTAGATGGTTTATGGAAGAGGGTGATTTGGGGAAAATATTATGGGGGTAGGAAGGAGAGGGATGTTACTTCTTTTGAGTGTTTGAATATGTCTTGGGTATGGAAGGATATTGTAAGTTTGGGTAGTAGGTCAAAATGACCATCCAAGATGTTAGTAAGGGGAATTAAGTGGGAAGTTGGGGATGGAAGTTTTGTGGATTTTTGAAGTGATAAATGGGTGGGGGATAAGCCTTTGAAGAAGTTATATCCTAGGTTGTTTGCGTTAGCTACGAGAAAGGAGGGGTTACTGAAGGATATGGGTGTTTGGAGTGGCGAAAATTGGGTATGGGATTGTAGGTAGAGATGTGGATGTGTAGGGAGGGCAGCAGATGAGGAAGAACAGTTTCGGGTGAAGATCAATGGGGTTAAGTTGAGGATAGATAAAGAGGATTCTTGGAGATGGGTGCATAGTAGTGATGGCTTTTATTCGGTGAAGGCAGCATATGAGTTTCTAACACCAAAATCTAGTTTTTTTGAGGAGAAATGGGCTAAGGTGATTTGGAATAAATATGTTCCTTTTAAAGTGAGTGTTTTTGGGTGGAGAATGTTTTTTAATAGATTAGCTACTAAAGAGAATTTGTGTAAGAGAGGAATTGTGCTGTCAGGGGGGATGCTAGGTGTGTGTTTTGTCATGAGGAGGTGGAGTAGCTTCATCATATTCTTTGTGAGTGTAAAAGGATATGGTTAGTATGGATGAAGGTTTTGGGTTGGTGGGGTATATAAAGTGTTTTGCTAAATGATATTTTTAGTTTGGGGGAGTCAACGGTGTTTGGTATAAGTGGGGGAGTTTTGAAGGATTTAGGGGCTCTTCTATTTCTAGTTACTATGTGGTTTGTCTGGTATTGGAGGAATATGCATGTGTTTAGGACAAAGGTCATGTCTGATGTGTAATTATTTGAGTCTATTCAAGTGAAAACTTTTTTATGGCTCAAAAATAAGGAACCAGGTTGTGTGTTTTCTTATATGGATTGGATGTTAAGGCCAAGGGAGTGCAAGGATGCTATTGTGCAACATTGCAAAAATCTAAAGAGTGTTAAGAAATTGCAGCGGGCAGCAGTTCGAAATAGGGGAGATCATGAAGGTTAATGTTCATAGGTGTGTGCTGGCGGCATTTTTGCTGGTGCAATTTTGGTGTTGGCGGATTCAATAAGCTGTACCTGCAAACGTATGGAGATTATATGTTTCGATGTTTGGTTTCCCTTTTTTACATGATGGTTTTGTTGCTGCTTTATGTTGTTGATATGGTGCATTTTAGATTATTGTAAATGGGTAGGAGTACCCTTGTGCTCCATAAAATAAAATTTTATTTTGCTAATAAAAAAAAATATGTGTTAATTGTTAAGTTTTATTTTAATGATTGTGATGTCTAACCATCGATGAATGCCTAGTTCAAGTGCTTTAAGTGATTATTAATTCAGACTTCTCCTCTTTGTATGTAAAGATCAGATTTTTATTATGATAAAACATATCTTAAGGAAATAAGAGGAGCGGCCCTCCATCGAAATGGCAAATTAGTGTGTATTAATATATTAAGAAACAAAAGCGTGCAAAATTTTGAAAAGGAAAGTGTAAGGAAACAGGACTAATTAATGTGTATTAATATAAAAAAATAACTTAAAGTCTAAAATATAATTTATTAAATTAAAGAGGGATAAGGAGGGTCCCTTCATTCTAATAATTAATTTAGATTATAAAACAAGAGAGTCAATAATATAAATAGGTATCATTATATGAACAAATACCAAACTAATTAATAATTTTAATAACCAAAGCAAGAAACGTACAAATA